TGCTTGTAAACAATCAAACAGACAAAGAAACATGTGAAATGCAAGCACCAAATTGACACAAAATGGAAAGATAAATGTATCCAGTTCAGAGGAAGTTATCCTATAAAGGAAAGTCATAGCAATTAATGTTGCTATCAAAAGAGAAGAAAAATCTCAAATATTAAAAAAAGAAGTAATACTCTTTTTCAAAGAACGAAGAAAAAGGAGTGCTTATCATCTCAACAGAGGCAGGAGTCTCAAGTCAAGCTGTCAACCTTTGACTACATAGGCTTTCCAGCCAGTCTGCATGGCAAGACCTCGTCTCGAAAAAAAAAAAAAAAAAGAATCGATTCTAAGACCACATTTAGGGAACTTTTGATATGCAGTGCTCATAAAAATTGAGCAACAAAATATAGCTGTAATAACATGATAATTCTGAGTAAAATAATAACCTATGAGCCATATTAGCATAAAGATAGGTCTATTCAGCTGTCTAATGTCAATTAATACATGCAGAAGGAACGTTGGAATTATAAAAACAGTGCTTGACAACGAACATCATAAAAAGTGATTCAAAAAAGCCTCATAAATGGATGCTCAGTCTGCACCAAATCCCACAGCATTCACTGAGTTACCATGGTAACCATGCTGGCCAAGGAAAGCTGAGAAAATCAAACATCACAGCCCTCCATTTGCTTCCTAATATGCACTAGGAACTGAATTTAACTGGCATAATACACAGTAATGAATCTCAAATATTTCTTATGAAAATACTCTCATGGCTCAATCAATATACAAAAATATGCATACATATCCTTATACATGCATTTTTTCTCAAAACCCAAGAATCCAGGAATTCCTTAAGACAGATTTGTTTGGGGATAAAAAATGAGAATTCGACAATACAATTGTAAAAATCAAGAGCTACTAAATTATTTTATTTTGCTGACTTATTTTGCCAAATTTACCTAGTTTGAATATATTGTCAATGACTTCTAAAAGCTGGTAATGGAAGTTTGAGTGAATAGATGATGTGATGATTAATTATACATGTCAACTGTGCTACAGTGACCAGACATTATTTTGGATGTTCCTATGAATGTGCTTTTGATGAAATTTACATTTGAACCAGTACACTAGGTAAAGCAGGTTGCCCTCTGTAATGTGAGTAGGCCTTATCTGTTACTTGAAGGCCTAGATAAAAGAGAAAGCTGGTACTATCTAGTAAAGAGGTTATTCTGTAGCTCACTCTGGATTTCATTTGCTATATTGGATCTAGCAAGTCACCAGTAGACTGGCTATTGATTTAAGTTTCACTGTTTGTTCAGTCTGAAAATTGTTGTCTCCACCATCAAAATCTGAATTCACAAAGCATCCAAAATCATATGAGCTAAATATGTAGTATCTCTAGAGAGATAAATACATAGCTAAATAGATTAGTAGGTAGGGAGAGAGAGAGAGAGAGAGAGAGAGAGAGAGAGAGAGAGAGAGAGAGAGAGAGATGAGAGAGATCTGCTATTGGTTCTGTTTCTCCAAAGAACTTTAATTAGTATAAATATTCAAAAATATTTTCTACCCTACAGTAGCCTATGCTTTTTATTTTTCTCTCTCTCTTTTTTTTCCTTTGGTTTTCCAGACAGGGTTTCACAGTGTAACAGTCCTGGCTGTCCTGGACCTAGCTCTTGTAGACCAGGCTGGCCACAAACTCGCAGAGACCCACCTGCCTCTGCCTCCTGAGTGCTGGGATTAAAGGAGTGCACCACCAATGCATGACAGCCTATGCTTTTAAACAAACAAAAATGATATGTAAGTAATTAATGCCAAGCATTTGTCTTCTGGCAGTTTGGTGAAAATGTAACATAAAGTAATTGATATACAAATCCTATTATTCATAAGACCATCAAAATAGAAAATGTATGGTAAGAAGTTGTCCACATCTCTAATTGATAACCATTACAAAACCTTTGGTCACATGTTTTGCCTGCAGCCTGAAATTTCTTTTATAAGAAGGAAATATCAAATTCCTGCTGCTACCTCCATTTTACATTGCTGTCTTAAAAAACACCAACATGTGTATTAGATTGATTTCCCTGTTTTAGGAAAATGACAGACAGTAGCTTCAGCCCTGAAGCTATAAGCAAAACAAATAACACATGTTTATAAAAGTTGTATCTTGAAACACTGATGTTCAATAGCTAGCAGCTAAAGTGATTCAACCCATGCATTGTTTATGTCCCAAATTTTGTGGTTATGTCCAGCGGCTATTTTAATAGTATTTTCATTGTCTTCTTTCTAGTTCAACCCTAATTGAATTATTGTCTCATGGAGAGATTTGCATTCAAAATGTTGATTCTTTGCTTTAGTTTCATAGGAGAAGTATTCAGTTTGATGGAGATGGAAAGTTTGATAGTGATTTAGCCATATGTTCTGTGTTGGAATTTGTGCTATCAGTTTGAGCACTAGTTCTTTGTGCCTACGAAATTAATTCTGCTTGTTGTCCCACTCTATTTTGACCTACTGAAAAGTTAATCCCACTTGTTAAACAAAGATCTTTAAGTTAATGATATTTTCTGTACAGATGTTACATTTTATTTTTAGCCTTTAGCAAATTTTCCAGCAGGTATTCACCTACTTAAAAGCAAAACAAAATTATTCTCAGATATTTGACATTAGACAACCGGAGCATTTGCTTCCTTTGCAACCGAGTAATATGGGTAGGCTTTTGAACCATCCCATACTCAAAGTGGTAGATAATGGGGATCTTAAATGTTTATTCTAAATAATAAAGTTCTTGAAAGTTTTTCTCATGTGTGGTTGTAGTATATCATATTGAAAGGGTTATCCATTTACTTTTGCCCAGAGTATTTTGCCTGTATACTTTAAATAAAGTATACTTTAAATAAAATCTTCTTGGGGTGTACCACAACTATATATTTGCTGTATTTCACGGAATTAATACAATATTCGTGGTTTATTGGATAATCCTCAGATAATATGTGCTTGAAGTCCTATAGAGAGCTAAATTTTCTATATGTATAGAACATAATTTTTGATTATTGTAGAAGGCTTCCTACATTCGAAACTGTGCATGGTGCAGATGTGAATATGCAAAAGATATTTTATTAGCTCTATACTTTCTAAAAGAATAGCTTGTTCTTTTCAAAGCACTATACAATTTAGGTGACATTCTACCATCACGGTTTAAATGTAAAACATTTGTGTCTCAATTAATACCATATGTTTTAAAGGAATGTCTCACTGAGAAGGGAACTATACAACTAAAGCAGTTCCATTAATACCTGAGACTTGCTGGGCATGGCACACGCCTTTAATCCCAGCACTTAGGAGACAGAGGCAGGCAGATGTGTGTGAGTTTGAGACCAGCCTGGTCTGCAAGAGCTAGTTCCAGCACAGCTGGTGCTACACAGAGAAAACCTGTCACAAAAACAAGCAAACAAGCAAAAGACCTGAGTCTTAGTACTCAGTATTCTGTGTAATACGCAAATACTTCTCTTAGATGGAGAAAGCTTTTTTGTCAAATGTATATTTTAGCAGAGTTACAAGGAAATAATCACCATACAAGTCTCTTAGTGTAGTAAGGAAGGATATAAAATACTTTTTGTATATGCACAAAAGTCCTGCCGTTCATCGCAGCATCAGAACAAGAAATATACGGGAAGAAGCTGTCCACATATGTGCAGAGCTTGTACAATGAACACTAAAATACTTCTGAAAGAACTTGAAAACGAATACTGTCACCACAACTCAGAGCATTAAATAGCATTGTCTATTATCCTTAAATTGATCTACAGAGTCAGTGCAACTCTGATTTTTAAAAAGTTCCACATTATACTTTTTGTTTGTTTTGTGAAACACAGTCTCAATATGTATCCCTGGCTGTCCTGGAACTCACTATACAGACCAGACTGGCCTCAAACTCAGAGATCCATCTGCCTCTACCTCCTGAGTACTGGGGTTAAAGGCATGTGCCACGATGCCTGGTCTCAGAATATACTTTTAAAGAAGAAATTGGAAGGTCTATTCCAAAGAGCATATGGAAATAAAAAGGGACCTGCACTATGAAAACATTCTTGAATTTCAATATTAATTATAAACTTGCAATAAAGGACATTGGCTGAGTGCCCTCTAGTTCAATTTAATTTTCACACTACTACAGAATGAACTCTCAGTCTCGGAGATGCTTGTGCCCCATTTTAAATGCTACTCACAAGCACTAGACTATTTTGTTTTGTACTTCTATCACAATCAACTCTTCAGGTTTGACTAACTTGCTTGGGCAGCTTCCAAAACTCAAGGAAACATTTTTAATCAGTTTATATTAAATGATAATATGAAGGACACAGCAAAGAGATATATAGCAAGCTATGGAGGAAGGGATCCAGTATATCTGTGCCTTCTCTAGGTGCCACCTACAGGAATTACATGTATTGAGCAATACAGTGTATTTCTAAATAATTCCTTTCTCTTTTTTTTTTTTTTTTGGTTTTTGGAGA